TCGAGGCAACTACGACGGAGCCTATGATGGCCGCTGGGCTTTTGCAGGCAGCGCAGCTTTTGGCGTCACATGTGGACGTGGCAACAGACGTCACAATTCTTCGCGAAGACGGCTTAGTGAAGTTTCTTCACGTGCCCAAGGATGAGCTCAAGCAGCTTAGGGAAGCCGACATCGATACGGCCAACGCAGTAATGCTCCTCGGGCTCTTCACCTGGAGGCCCGGGTCAGGTGATGAAGGGCCGCTCATGTTGGCGCTGGGCCAAGGTCCCGGTGAGCCTGGCGAAATAGTCGTCAAAGCACGGCCGGCCAGGTTGCTAACACGGGCACCCTGCCAGGAAGCAGCGATGAGTTTGGACATCTTGTCCAACGAGCTCCCACTGAGCGAGCAGATGAATACGGACTCTGTGGTGAATTTTAACGAAGACTTCCGCGACATCGCGGTGCGGCGCTGCGTGAAACTACAACAGCTTACGCAGCGCCTGACGGCAAATTTGACGTCCGGCCGCGGTGGTGGTTAAGCCTTTCAATTTTATTGCGGAATGCCATCTAATCTTCATCTTCTTCCGTTGATTTACTGATGTTACTTCTGAATGCAATCGAAAAGAGCAATTTCGGCAAACGTGACTTTTAGTTGCTGTTCAAAACAGCGTTTCACCGCCCTTTGGACAAAACCATGTGTTTCAATGTGCTTCCTTTCCACGCACTTGTCGGCCCTACGTTGTCGTGCCAGAAACAGGCAAGTGCGCACGAAGCAGGAGGATCTTCCGGCAGAATCTTTGGTTCTAATTCTTTGCTTTCCCCTTGCTTCTCAGGGCTCTATAGCGTTTATATTTTTTTAGGGGTTTGGGCGATGATTGAGGTTTTCCGTGAACCCATAGGCTCCTTTGTTGTGGCATCCCTTTCGGTTCTATGTAAGGGTTAACTTTGACCCGGTAAACGGAGTGCTCTACCCGGAAGGCTTTGCGCATGTTGTCGTCGCCGGGCGGCCACCAGGAAAACCGCAGCAGCACGAAGAGCATCACCCGAAAAGACCCCGGTACAGCCGCGGCTAACACCACCCTGGCAGGTGACCGCGAACACACTCAGCGTTGAAACATAAAGGGCGCAGGGTCCGCCACAGTAACGACGAAGAAGTAGCCAGCCAGCACGAGCTGCCTCCAGTCACTGCTCTCCGACGAAAGGTGCAGGGGCTCAACTCTCGTCGCGGCCCGTGCACAACAGTGGAAAGAGCAGGCAAACTCCAGCAAGGAATCATTCATTGTCGTACGAAAAGTTGCCACAAGTCACAAGTACAACCCGTGTGACATCCACATTAAAGTGCTTGCTGACACGAGTGGACGCTGACGGAACCAGGCTTTCATGCGCTGGTGGTGGCACAAGTCCCTTTTTGCAGCCAGGCACTGCCAGCGCCTACTGACTTCAAGAAGCTGCGCGTGGTCGAGACAAAGTGCGCTACTGAGAACGAGCTCCTGTAATAGTGAGTAAGTGAGTAGCTTTCAAGAAGCAGACCCCATCATGGCCCCACAATACTGCTTCCACCCTGCATGCCACTGAGGAGCCGGCTGACGTGCCTCGTTGTCTGGGCTCCCGAGGCCCGCCTCGCACAGCAGGTCCGTCATCAAAGAAACAAGGGGTTTTACCTACTGTCGACACTCACCCATGATTTGATTCCGGTGCTGCTTGAGCTGGTGTGCAGGCAACGATAACTTTGGCCAAGCCGTAGAATGCCGTAGATAAGTCTGACCGAATTGACCGATACGGCTTCCCAGGCGACGAGCAGTGGCGAAGGCCAAGGGCGGTACACAACATGCCCCGTGTCAGTGTCGCAGACCGTCCAGCCAGGTAAGATCCGAAGAAAAGAATGAGTTTCGGATTTGTCTCCGGAACAAGTCGACGTGTTCCGCTTCTGAGACAGCGACATGTCTCAACCTGGGGATCATGGCTCCTCCCTGCAAAGCAGGACTGGCAAAGCATGCAGGCAGAGTGAGCGGAATGCTCCTTCTCGGTTTCGCAGAATTTTCCAGGGTGCCAAGCAGGCATTTCCCGCGTGCGGAGCCGAAGTGTGACGAAAGAATGCGAGCATGGGGAGGAGATAGAACAGCTAAGCTGGGTTCACGTGTAGCAAATTGCAACTCTAGCTAGTGTGGATCAGGTGCCTGCTGTTTGCCGAATCGGTGTAGTGTGACACTGACAGCTGAGTTGGACAATAGTTGTTTCTCTGTATGCGGCATGCCAGGCATCGTCCGAAATGAGTGATCTGAGCTGACGCTATGATCTGGTTGTAGGTGCGAATCGCCCCAGCTTTTTCCGAACAGCTTGCGGCATGCCAAAAAGGGATCTACACGGCCCCTGCTGGTAATTTGCATGCGCAGCCAACAATACGGCTGCCGGACAGCGGGTCCTTCCTCGTGTTCGCAAGGAGTCGTGAGGGCAAAACGCAAGCAGCCCGTCGCCCAGGCAAAGGAAGCTTACCACGAGCTCTTCCAACTGCAGGCTGCCGGCACATCAGAAACTCCATGGCAAAGGGCTCGTCATCCTGATCTCCTGGCTACCCTTGAGCCAGATTGCTAAAGTAAAATCTGCAGGAGCGAGCCAAGAAGCTCAGAAAAGTGCGCCCTCGCCTTTGCATCTCCGGAGATCTCTCTTTGCTTTTGCAACGGCCCACCGGCACAGCTTGTGTGTGGAAGATGGACCTAGGCGAGGAGCTGGAATTACGCACCAACCTGCGCAAAAAAGGAGTCGCGATTCAGGCGGGAGCCATGGGACATGCCTGTCGAGCTGTTGACTCCACTCTTTGCGACCACCCATGCTGATGAACTCCTCTTGCTTCCATTTCTGTTTGGATTGCTATGTAAGGGCAGTGTCCTGTTTGGACAGGTCGCTGAAGGAAGCAAGTCGAAGCCTGCGCAGTACAGGTGGCTGTATGACAGGAAAAGGTGAGCCAACACGGTTCATCCGGTACACTTCATCTACCATGGCCAACACTGCTTTCTTGCCTGTGTTCTGGCCCGGATGCACTGCGTGTGCCAGCAGCGAGCAGAGAGTTGTGGACAAAGCCTTCCCACAATGTCCGCCGAGACTTACAGGTTTGTGGTGCGGGACGGAGCCATGAGTGCCTGAGTATACTGCCGCACCACAGCGGGATGCAAGATATGCATCAGAACTAAGCGTTTCAGAAGGCAATATGGTGTGGCTCCATTCTTGCAAGCCGCCGCATTCGCACTGCCAAAAAAAACGCTATGCCAGGCCGAAACTCTGGTGTGGATGATTATTACTGTGAATTTGCAGTCGTTTGGGTGATCCCACATCGGCCCAGGATTGCAGACAAGCCAACGCAGCTGCTAAACGGATCGAGCTGTAGCCAGGATCCACAAAAAACCTAGGACCTAGGCCCCAGATTGGCTCAGCGTTGCAAAGCAAGGGCGGGCATCGGCTGCGCTGCGGCACACTAATCGTCATCCTTCAAGATGAACGAAGGCCATTTGCGACTCTACCAAACTACAGGCATTGCTTCTGAAGACTGCAACACGTGATATTTTTTCAGCAATGGCGAGTGGTCGAGTCGGCCGCCGAAAAGCGGACAAAGCCAACACTCGGCTCAGGGCAGCTTGGAGACGAATTGAGAATTGAGTTTCCCTGCAGTTTCCCTTGAATTCTTCTGATAGCACCTTGCCATCGAATGGGAAGGCCGTGCTATTAGTCGCGCTGCTGCCATCTTTGTGGGGACTTCCATGCTTTGCAGGCTCGATACTGCCTCACCATGAAGTGACCACAGCACAATCCGCCTAAAGGGTCCGTCGTTGTGATGTGCGGGTGAACGTCCAATCATTCGCTTCTGGACTGGAAGGATCCACGCTGCAGAAGACTCGAGATGACCTCGCGCGGGCGACTTGTCTGCCAGTCTTGCTCCTGTGCTTTCGCATGTCTCGGATGCCCCTGTAGTTCATTGCGGGGTGAGCCTCACGGGCATGGGCTTTCAGGACTCCCGGCTGGCATGTTTCATCTAACGCCCATGAGGCATGTCACGTACATGGCAAAGGACGCGAACTGCAATCTAGCTGTCTGCAGTACCGCATTTTACCCGGCACCGCTGAACAGAATGTTAGGACATTCATACAGGTGGCCATGCCAGAGCAAGTTGTTGATACCCCTTAGTTTCACTGCTACATCGCCGTGACGCTGCTCTCACAGAATTTCCCTCGAATCAGGCAGAGCGCGGTAATGCAGCAGAAGATCAGAAGCAGTACGCTGATGGTGTTGTCCAGTCGTCGTCAAGCAGCCTGGCACTGCACTTCAGACATGTTTTGTCTCGGGCAGCCGTCACCTTTGTACTGCTCAACTCAGCAACTCGAGTTGGTGCATAGCCACAGACCTCAGGTGAGACTTTCGAGGAGGTCTTGTCGCGAGCTACAACAGCCGAGCAAGTCTTCGATCAGCTGGATCAGAACAGGCTCGCAGGAGTCGGAGTGTCACTTGCTACGTGATCCCAATCCCTGTAGTGCATCTGTAGATAACTTCATGCAGGTCGACCTAGGAGACTGAAGGCTTTGTTGACCCGGCTCCCGAAAGCGAGAGATGTAGCGCGTGTCAGGGAGCATCTGCGTGTAGCTGATGCTGTCGCCGTGCTCAAGAAGCTACTTCACAAGAAGCTTGGTTGCAAGAGGAACGGATTGAAGGTGTTGCGAAATAATTGAAATAATATGACACTCCCTGGATACATGCCATGTAAATACATCAGGTAGCATAGCGCACGAAATGATGCGACAGGGACGGGCGAGATGGATCGATCTTTTGTCAGTCTAGTCCTAGGACCCTAGGAGCGCAGACATGCCTGCAACTATCGTAGGAACAGGCTGCATGCTCCAACGGCCAAGAACACGGCCCGACAGACCAGGGAAGCAGATCTATTGAGCTCGTGACGTGCTTAACAGCCAGCAGGCATGTTTTTGTAGATGAGCGGAGTCCTGGAAAGGAGGGGGATGGGCAAAGGTGGGATGTTTCACATCGAATTCGGCAGTCCTGCCATTTCTCTGAAAGGCTTTAGTTGCATAGTCATGTCAGAGCAGTTGAGTCGCTGTGCATGAGGCCAGACCCAAGATCGAGGCCAATGGGTTTCGATGCAGTTTGGAGAATATGCCCCGGCGTCGGAAATTGCATGTCCCACCCTGGCCCCTACCCTCTTTCCCGTACCTCTCTGCCCCTCTGTGTCCCCCTCTCTCTCCCTCCCTCCTCGCATCTATCCCTCTCCTCCCCTTACAGTAACCTCCGTTACCCGTGGCCCATCAAATCAAGGTTCCCTTGGAAGCTAGCCATGCTCGCATGGAGTGGGTCCACCTGACTGTAGGGCCCCTATGGTCTGGGCATAGCTCTAGCCTTCAGCCGTAGCAAATCACAAGGAGGGTGCTGGCAGCTCCTTTCACACAGCCTCGCTACAACGTTGCTGACTAGCATGCTTCTGTTCTGCCTCCCTACTTGGCTGATGTCGTGTGCGCTTCACTTTGGCATGCGCCATGCTGACTAGTTTCAGGTCTCATCTGCTACATGGAATATGGCAAAAGAGCATGGGGAGAGAGTGGCCGGGAGAAGGGTGGGGCAGTGTTGACTTGGCAGGGACGCATGGCAGCCGACAGAGCCGGCGCAGCTCACCCAGCTGGAGGACTTCAAGCACCTAGTGACGACGCAGGCGCTCAGCGATGCGAGATCGTCGCGACGTCCCTTAAGCGAACACCAACTATCGACCTTCGACACACGCCACTATCGCAGGCCAAGTCTTACCGTAGGTCAACTCACGGCCGTCATCGCCGTAACATCACATGACCAATTCTGCCACACCAGTTAGCACGTCAAGCCGTGTTCAGATATTGCAGATCGAGATGGTGCGGAAGATGAACAAGTTCCTTGCAGCAGATGTCCTCATCGAGAGTGCCGAGCTTGGAAATCAGCTGCTAGACCTGGGCATGCAGGATGAAGGCGGGCGTCACACAAAAGTTCATTCGATGTCACCTTTCGCAACGTTGGTGCCAGGCCGGCAACTCTTGGATAGCTCTCTGATCGCCATCGAGCGGGCGTTGCAACCCGATGTGCTGCTTAGAGGAGGATTTGGCTTCCTGGTCGCGGATCTGCCAAAAATCCTGGCATCGTTGCCGGGAGGCCAGGCGTTGTACTTTCAAAACACGCACCGTGGGTTCTGCCACGATAGGCCCTGGCCTTTGATTGAAATGGCAGGTCATGACCCGATCAGACGACGATGCCTCAGCGCCATCTCGTCAAAAGCCAGAAGACTCGGTCCCCACAGTCTTCTGGATGTGGCGCATTCTCTGGTGGAGAGCAAGGACGCTCTCCCGAGCATCTCTGAAAGGGAAGCATCGGGCCTGCCAGGACAAGCTGCAAACGGAGGACCGTGAACTCCTCCGGCGAGTTCTGCAGATCGCCGCCAGGAAGAAACACATCTTCAAAGGACCACAGCTGCAAGGGACCCGAGTCAAGTCTCCACATTGCAGCATGCAGCAATGGCCGGAACTTTCCAATGTAAGGGCGGACATGCTCTACAGCGGTGCTCTTCTGAACGAGTCGGGTCCTCAGCAACGAATAAAGGGATCCCGTTTCTCAGGACGGACCCTGCATATGCTGAGGCGGGATGAAGTCCTGCTGCAAGTGGCCACTCGGAAAGCCGCTACCAACATCGGTCTCTTCGAGCACACGGACTGCTCAGAAGCTGAATCGAGCTTGCTGCAAGATTCTGTTCGCAAGCCTGTCCTGCAAGGACCTTGCCAAGCTAGCCTTCGCTGTGACGAAGCGGCTCGGACGGACATTGGAAGCACCGTTCGGATAGTGGTCTGGTGCATTGTGTGTAGAGGACTCATCCTCCATACATGTCCTACGGACGAATACGGAAGCATACACTGCATCCTTCCTGTCTGTCCTGTCTGCCAGACTATGCAGGGTTTTGCGATGGTTGGTTGGGAGGTAGAAAGCTCTCTAGCGAAAGCAAGTCCTGCGGATGGCCCATAATGGTGTAGATGCCGCCTGACCACTGACACCAGGTTGGATTTCAGGGACCAGAACTTTCTAGGCGCGGGCATGCCAATGACGATGTGACATCCAACGAATCTGCCCTGAAAACACACACTGCCAGATCGTGTTCCTAGGAATGCTTGCGCAAGCGACGTCTTGGAAAGCAACTGTTATGCCTGGCCCCTGTTTGCCGGAGTTTCCGAGACGACATGCGCAATGCATCGCACTTGTCCGGCAGTCGTTGTGCCCGAGGCCTGCATCCACACTGAGTCAGATTCTGCTGTGTGTAGCGCTCAGTGAAAGTTACCGAACTTTGCAGATGCCCTGCTAGTTTCTGCAGAGTCATGCTTTCCACGCAGAGGCTTGGGCCATTTCCGCTTCGCAGACAATGACTTGGCTATCGATGATGCAGCAGCGAACCCGGAGACTGCCAGTTTGGCACGTGCCCTGTGCAACTTGTAAGTTGTGGCTGCTGCACTGACAGTCACACTTGCATCCGCACATCTGCAGGCCATAAGGCTCTACTGAACACTGACAGTTCCAGTTGCTATACCACAGTTGTCAACCAAGTCCAGCTAGTTAGCCTGTGCAGCACATACTCGCAGTGTGAGCAATGGATTCGGATCGGAAGCGGCAGCTGCTGACGCTGAGAGAGAATCCCGATGTGCAGGAAATTGCAACAGAGACCGTCGCCCGTGCGAGAGTGCTTCGCTGCAACTTTGCGTGTCCCTTGCGGCTGCCAGGAGCTCATCGCCAGCGAAATCGAGGAGGAACAAGCGGGAATCACCGGCTTTGCACGACTGCTTCTGCAATCTTTGGGCTTTGCACGTCGCGCGTCACAACAGTGTTTGTGCTGCACAGGACAGGAAGCGAAGGAAGCTTCAGCCCTTCAACTCAGGCTCCCTTCTACTGCAGGACGCTTCTCAAATCTGTCAGGGCGCAACTTGTCACGAGAAGACTCTTGTTTAAGTATGATGAGACTTGATGAGATTCCTGGATGTGAGATGTTCGAGTTCACTGCCTATCAACAGCTGTGCTTTCATTTTTTACTGCAAGTATTAACAGTATCTGTGCAGGAGAACTTCACTCCGAACTGTCCAGTGCACGGACTCATGCACCTGCCTGGGTTCGTTCCCTGAAGCAGTCCAGAAGTGCTTTGCTATTTCCTAAAGTCCTAAAACTCCTGAGCTTGCCGCCACTTCGGCATCTTTTCTGACGTTACTGCTCAAGGTGAAGATGGTCGTCGACACTGCGCTGTTTCAGAGGATGCGACATATCAAACAGTTGGGTGTGTGCTCACTCGTCTTCCCTGGTGCGAAGCACGACAGGCAGGGGGTGACGGGTGGCGGGGCTTCGGGAAGCGGGTGCGGGGGGGTGGAGAGGGCCGGATTCAGAAACGAAAACGATTACAAGTCAGATTCCGAAGTTATCAGCCGGCATCGCCGCCACAGCTTTTGTCTTCCTGAGATCGGCGTTGAATCCATTTCGGAAACTGCCTATCCATGTGGAACAGCTATGCATCTCCGAAATAAGCGTGGTTCCGCTAGCAACAAGGCACTCTGGAGCCGAGTCTCAACGGTCGAGAACCCAATAAGTGTACTCTCAACCGGCCCCCACTTTTCAAGGTCAAGGGCATGTTCCGAGACTTGTGTTGCCTGGAACTTTCTATCGCAGTTGTGCCAAAAGTGTTAGCGACATATCGGCGGAGTATTTCGGGTTGTTTGGCTATTCATACCTGCAAGGGCAACAGGATCTGAATGGGTAAACCTTAATTTGGTCACTGCATATCTCCTCTGACAGGTTCTTTCACAGCATCGGAACGGCGCACTTGGCGTACAACCTCATGAAGGACCTCAGGAGCAACCAGCCAGAGCTTTGTATCAGTGACAGAGACATGGTGTGCGTTGTGCTGGCCGCTCTCATTCACGACCTGGGCCACCCAGCCTACAGTCATATGTTCGAGACCTTCATGGCAAGCATCGGACACACATCATGGACCCACGAGCAGGCTTCAATCGTCCTGGTGAAGGAAGTCCTGAAGACTGTCAACCTTCCGTTGCTCACAAAGGACGGAGAGGGCGATGACGAGCAGTTTATCGTTGAGCTCATCGACCCGCCCAAAAAGGAGCTCAACACGTGTCTTGGCCAGTTGGTAATTCCATCAGTAGCAATGATCGGTAGGGATTCAAAGCTTTCCGTCTTTGTGCTGCTTCAGCTCCATTGAACTCGAGGGTCCCCTCGCTTGCTCAGGTTTCTGAACCTCGGGACATTGAAGGAGCACTGGCCATCCCTGATGAAGGGAAGGCCTGTCCAGAAAGCCTACATGTACGAGATTGTCTCGAACTTTCGATCAGGAATAGATGTGGACAAGATGGATTATTTTCGCAGAGATGCATACTTCTTGGGCATCGCGCGCCAGTTCGACCACCACAGATACCTGAAAAGCTTGGTTGTGATCGAAGACCACCATGGCATCACCACGTTATCTCCTCCCGAAAAGTTGAAGGACGATATTCGCGAGAACCTCTGTGAACTGCGCAAGACACTTCACAGAACGGCCTATCAGCACGAAACCGTGAAGAAGCTCGAGTCGCACATGGTAGACATTCTCAAGCTCATGGACAAAACCATCAGAGTCACAGGAAAGAGTGGCAAGAAGATGAGTATCTCTGAGGCTGCGCTGTCGTGTGATACCGTGGCTTATGCAAAGCTTACTGACATGTTCGTTGAGACTCGGCTCTTAGAGAACGAAATTCCGGAGTTGCACGAAGCATGCGAAGCTTACACAAAACACTTCCTGGAACGCAAGCTCATGCGCCTGGGCAGTTCCTTGAACACGATTTCTAGGTTTCGCACGGTTGCTTCACCAGGAAGACAACACTATAAAGTACACAGTATCAGAGGGGCCTGAGCCTCAAAGAGAGCCGCCCAGGCGTAATGTGATGACCTGGGAAGTCCCCACAGAGCAGGAAGAGCCAGGCTTCAAAATGCCCGATGTCCAGAGCTTCGTGGAGGAGACCCTGAAGCTCTCCTCCAGGCGCATGATGTACGAAAACTTGCAATCTTTTCATGCAATGGCAGGGATTGCCCTACAACGTGGTCCACCATAGTCATAAGCACTAGTAGCATGAGGAATCCCGCCAAGCTCTGGCACCACCGTATGAGTCGGTCTACGTAAGGCGTTTAGTGTCTAGAAAGCTGCTCCACGATCCCTGTGTGCACCGAGGCAAGTTCCACGCTGCGAACTGATATGTGTTGAAAGCAAACTACATTATGGAATGGGCAGTGAGGATCCCATCAAGAAAGTTGTATTTCATGACAAAGAGGGCAAGCCGTGACCTGCAAGCACTTTCCTACATCTTTGGACCTTTTTCTTCCTGTTCATCGTACGTGTCATTACGTGTCAGAAAGGCTAGGCAAGATGGTGCAGAGCAAAGAGCATCCGAGGCGATTGTTCGACGTGGATTATGATGCCAATCCTTTGCGGCGGAAGCTGTTCCTTTTCTGGAATCCTCAATCCATCGATGACCCGCTTCACATGAATACGCTTGAAAGGCAGGACCATCATCAATTTGCAGAAGCCACAGTTGTTAGGGTGTTGGGAACATGGATCAGAGCCACTGAGCACCTGGTAGCCAGTAGCTGGATGTCTGGAGACGTGTTTTCAGAGTCGATTGCTATCACTACAGGCTTCAGGTGGGTCAAGCAGCATTGACTGCATGAGCATGCGTGGTATGATGACGAAAAATCAGAAGCAGGTGCTACCCTAGGAGCTATGCCATAAATACCTAGCGGGCGGCATCTAAGCTGATGCCGTTTGGCACGGACCATGTGGTCACGGCATGCGTTGATCGATCCTAGTCATTGTCCCAAGTGCCAGGCTGCATCATGCTGCGACACAGCATGCAGCCAGCTGCGGCACGGGTGATGTCGTCTCAACGATTCTCGACTTAACCTTTGTGCAAGTCTGGACCCGGACACGCATCGCACGTGCTCAGGCCTGCATCGCCAGTGAAATCACGTCGGCCGAGCCTGTTGGGGCCCAGGTTGAACTGAGAGGGAACTTTGAGGGGTTGTTGATCTTTTGGAGGGTGCATGTCTTCGGTTCCGGCTTCTAGCTCCGTGGCCTGTTGTAGGGCTGCGCGGCTCTCCGGGATCAGGAGCCCCTGTTTTTTGGCTTTAGGGGCCCTCTCTATTTTTCATATTTTCACATGTTGAGACATGTACTGTTGACCATGTGTATGATCTTAGGGGGTAACACCAGTAGGTACTGATGTGAAATGATATAATCTGATGTACTTGTTGTGGGCGTGTCACTAAAAGAGCAGCATGTAATTGTGAGATGACAAACTTCACATCCAACGTGTATGCCGGTGTATGTGCACATGCGTACACGTAACATCACACTTTCCGTATATGTGAGTGCAAGCAGAATACTTCTTTCGACATTGACCAACATATGCAGTATATGAGACCTAATTATGTTATCTTATTTTTGTAGCATCCCTTTCAAGGCCTTGCGTAATGCTGCAGCAGCCAAAGGTCGGGCCTGTGCTCGAGGCGAAGGAATCCCAGTAGGAAGGCTCTTCATAGTGATGAGAAGGTGTCCGAAGAAATAGTGCACAGAACCTTATCAGGAACATCTTCTGTACCGTGCACTATTTCTTCGGACACTTCTCATCACTATGACAAGCCTGTCTAATCTGCTTCAATCGCCTTGAGGGCAGGCCTGACCTTTGGATGCCGCAGCAGGCCACCTGGGGCCTTGCAACACCTCACGAACCCCGGGAGACCTGGGAATGAAATTCAATGAACTAATATGATCTCTGCTGCAATTTTCAGATCAGACGGATCTTAGCAGATGTGCGTTGGCTGATTGCCGAGGTCCAACGGCGAGCCCCAAGAACCCTCGAGTGAAAAGCCGCCTGCACCGGCACCAGTGCCAGCAGCTCCAGACGCAGCATAGCAGCATCATCGTTCAGTTGAAGGGCTCCTTCCTGAGTAAAGCTGCGCTATTCAGTGCAGTAGCCTACACGGATCAAACACAGACGAGCATGGTGGCAGGTGGGATTCTGTGTAGTCAGAGACATGTCGTGAACCTCCCGACACCACGGGCCCTGACACAACAAATCTTGGACTGAGGTCAAAGCGAAAAGCAAGCGACTGCTTCGTGTGCAGTCTTCTTGCCCGGCCGCTTGGCATGTACTGGCTTTGCTTTCCACAGTTGCCATGTTCTGTCGCAGTCTGTATAGGCTCCTCATAAGTGGAAGCGAGTGAGCTCATGTACATCTGGTTCCGTATGCACTAGCTGCGGGAGAAAGAGTGAGCCCCTGGAGAAAATTGAGAAAGAAATAGGGAAAATGTCTCCTGCTGGGAGACTCTGAAGTCAGTCCGGTCCTGTATGCCACATTGACTGTTGATTGTCTTTCCAATTAAAGTTAAAGTCTAGCCGAGTCTAGCCGTCCAGTGCCGAAGCGAACTGGCCAACGCTACACCTGCTGTGTCCGGGATTCGGAACAGTAAGTGAAGAAAGGCTCAGAGTTTGCATGCATCACATCGCAAGGGCGGTCTGCACTTAGCATGAGGATCCGAAGACTACTTAAGGTGCAGCCTCTCGCACAAAGAGGTTACGTAAACAACAGTGTACTTTCTGCCCTGCGAGGCGAACACGGAGCTTTTTGAGCGAAGCATGGCCGTGGGCGGTTTTTGAAGACTTGAGGATGCCCGCTTCGAAGGTGCAGCGCTCAACTTGTCTCTCCAAGTCCGTTCGTGCCTCTAGTTCGTTTCTGCCGCATCAAGACACAGACATGCTGTTCAAAAAGTTATCTTGTATGGATCTTGCAGATCTGATAGATCTGCCGTTTCCGCTCCACAAAATGCCTGCATGCATGGGGTCATGGGCTTTGAGCTGGGTCAAGCTCTGCAGACAGCTCCTGGCGGTACTAGTTCGTATGCCATACATGGACTTTGTATTTGTGCAATGCCTGTGCTGCCTGTACTTCATGCTGCACAATCCTGGAAGAGATGCAGGTCTCGGGCGAAATGGAGCCACTCGCAGCTGAGTTTGCTGCAGCAGTCACGATGAGGAGTCGCCGGCATGTGGGGGTGAAGCACATGCCTCCGTGTCCTTGGATGTGCATCGCGGAATATCACGGAAGCCAAAGCTCCAAGACGAACGGATGTCCCCGAGACCGGGACCGAGTTGTAGCGGCTTCCGTGCACGGGTTCTGCTTCATTCGCGCAGACGTTTCAGAATGAAGCATCAGAAAGTTTGCCAAAAGACACCAATGTCCTATTCTCATGCTGCTCTGGGAACGTGACAAAGGATGCGCACCGGCAAACCTCTTTTTGCGGGGAGTCTCACCTGGATGCTGTGTCCGAGCGGTGTGTCCGAAAAGCAAAGCCAAGAAATGCCCCTTAGGCCTTAGGCTTCGTCTTCTTCGAATCTCCTTGCTTGCTGAGGTCAAGCAACTCAAGGCTCTTCTATTGACGGAAGAGCTCGATCCGGGTGTCAAAGTCTCGGTGCAGCTTTTGCTTCGGCAAGTGAGGGCTGATCAGGGAAGAGGCACTGTGAGCAAGATGCAGAACCTGTAACTAGTGGAAAGGGTTAGTATCTGCCGAGGTGCTGAGCGATGCTCTCAAGGGCTTGGCCCAGCTGCAGGCTTGCACCAGGGGCACTACCAGCTCCACTTGCCCGGACTGTTTGGGTTCTGGTCGAGTATTGAGCTGACGCAACTTCGAGCATCACTGCGGCAACTGACAGCTAGCAGCTTCATTTTTTGCGACCGCGCAGCACCTGGACAACGAGTTCCTGGAAGCATCTGCCAAGCAACTGGCGATGTTCACGCGCCAAGTCCTGAGCACACTTCTGAAGTCAAACCAGTAGTCGATGACTGGCCGACTGTGACTGGCATTTGGTTCACGTGTTTTCAGCACTGGCTGACGGTTGTTGCCGTCATTGCTGTTACATTTCTCACTATTGTTGTCAGCTGTGTGTGTGGGGAGGGGGGGGGGGGTGTTCATCGCCGCTTGATTCTTTACCTCGACTTCTTTACAATAGGATGTGCCTGCGTGGCCAGGAACCTTGGCTCGCCGGAAGCTGGAGGAATCGGAGGCCATATTGCAGCAAGCGGCTGTGTTGCGAGCCAGCCTCGCTAAGACCGTTGTTCAGGGCATGCTGGAACCAGAACATACCTGAATGGTCCGTCAGCACTTGCATTCTTCTTGGGCTCCCTTTATTGCGCAGGGGGAAGAAGTCCACGACTTGATGGTTGGAAGAGACCCAACGGAAGTCGTGAGCTGCGTCCTCAGCCTCAAACTGGCTCCTGCCTCACCCGCAGCACATCTGCTAAGGTTGCTCATCGCATCTAGCTCTCCACATACATTGTATGAAGCCTACTATGCCTACTCGCCAAACCGAGCACCATCTGGCGAACCCGCTCACCCTTGTGCGACCTGGCCTGGCTGTCCCTGCGAACTATGCAACCAAGCTGGGCCAAGTTCCTCGGGAAAGTTGCTGAAGAACATCCATCCTCACATACCTCTCAGAGCAGGATGTAATTGTTGCCCGAGGCGACAGACAGCGCAAGGAGCACAATGCACTGCCACACGATGCAAAAATCCACACAAAGTCTGCAGTCGAATGCAAACATGCACACAAACTCGACCTACATTAACACATCAAACTTCCTGAACACTCCGGCCTGTCTCAGTTACACTCGAAGCCTCCATGAGTCATTCGATGTTTACACATTGCGAAGAACCAGGTGGGAGACGGTTTCGTGCTCTGTCACACTTCCTCATCGAGACTTCTCAAGCCCTCTGTGCTTGTTCTGTTGCCTCCTCCTTTCCTGCCGAATCCCCGTGAAACGCGGGCTCTTCCATGATTGACAGCCTACAGCAAGAGGCACTGCTGCGGCAGCGATGGCAGCACTGCAGTACAGGACGGTTCGTCTTGGAGCTCCCTGCAGACTCTGCACGCCCGGGGGTGGTTGGATGATGTCACGACCTTACCTGCTTCCAGTCAGACGCGCACCAGGAGTGACCACTTCATGGAAGCCGTGCACGAGTTGGTTTCGGAGCACGCCGCCACTTTTACATTTGGTGGTTTGGGGCTAAGTGGTTGTTGCTTGGGCAAGCATTCGCCGAGTAATTCAGCGCTGTCGGAGGCCGCTTCCATCTTGTACGTACCCTACGACGGCCCAGACCGTGACATTGACATGAACTGCACTACCTCCAAACCCCGCATCACTTCCTAGCAACCCAGACCCGCTTCTCTTCAGTCGCATCGCGGTCGCTGGGTCTAACTTGCAACGTCATTGTGCGCTGCTTCGTGCCTCTAATCATCCATTTGTCGCTGCCTATCGTTTCACGGTTCGTTAATAATCAAACACAACCCGTTCATAGCCTCCGCCGTGGGCATGACCGCGTTGATATCTTGTCGGAGGGCTGTTTGCAATCATTGTGTAGGTAAACACACACTTCACACAGTGCCATATCTGCCGAGCCGCACCCAGAATTATGAGTATTCCACGGCAGGCAAATCGAGCCAATTTCATAACAGTTGCGTAGGAACTTAGCGTTTCTATTCTAGTCACCAGTGTCTGTAAAATGGCCCATGGTAGTGCGTGTCTCTGGGACGACAGAGACATACTGACTTGCACACAGCCATGCTGTCTGAGGCCTGGCCAATGTGCTCTGGAGTTGTGCCATTCTGGAGAGCAAGCCGGAGCTGTCGGACCTCGTTGCTGTGCGCCTTCATTCTTACACAGTGCCGCCGTATCGTCTTCGTTGGGTCGCCCAGCCAGGCTGCGGCTGTTCAGCTTCCGGAGCCGTCGCCAGCGGACCTTGTGCGTATGGTCCGGGGACACAGAGAGTTGTGGCGCCTACCCGCCGACGTCATGACTGGCCGTGCGAAATCTGTTCCTCTCTCAGGCTTGGGCCTTCGCTCGACTTGGAAAGCCAGAGCCCGAAAGCCTCCGGGGGCAGTGGAGCGCGGGCAGAGCGGCAGTCCTCTCTCAGAAGCGCCCGAGATTCGTGCCAAGGCGAGACCCTGCTTTTATCGAAATGCTGAAACGTCAGGCCTCAACTGTGTGGCAAAGCATCGCTGCATTTTCGCTCATCTTCACACCGTGCGCCTGCAGGTTGAAGTCATTCCGAGGCAGGTCTATGTGCTGGTCCGCTCACAGCTATCGACTTTTCATGATGTGTGCAAAGCCAGATTGGATTCAATGCTTCTTCCAGACTTGGGCTGGGCGCTGCTGCCTTACAAGAAGCTCCAGCTGGATGGGTGGGAATGTGCGACAAGAGAGGAAATTATTCAGCCGTTCCTTCGATTATGCCCAGACGAGGCTTCTCAAGCTGCAAGCCACGGATGACGCAGTCTTGCAGAAGCTGCAAGATCAGGAGCGCTCCAGCCTGGGCCCGCCGAACAGTGAAGTGTCGAGTTGCCCGAAGGCTGGACGAGTTTCCAAGCTCGACGGCATGGACTGGATGACGCTCATCTTGGCTCTTCGTCGCGTGCGCGTCTGAGACCTCACATGACCTCACAGAAGCTAAGGGTTGCTGTCAAAGACCGTGATTTCCGTAGACGCTGACCGAAGTTCATCAGCCAGCTGGGTTGCATTTTGGCCGTCGTCGCAAAACCCGCCACAAGGCCAATCAGGCTGACGCGGCGCAGACGGACGGCCTCTTGAGTGAGAAGCTTGGGATGGCTCTCAGACTGCCGTGTTGTGTCCTGTCCTTTGCGGCTCATCAGGTAGATGTGCTGCCCAGATGACAGGCCCAGCAACTTGGCAGTCAAGAGAGAGTTCTGTCGAAGACTGCAAGGCAAATTGCCTCAGCAGGCAGACTCAAGCCTGGGCCTCAGAGCCAGGTGAAGCTTGTGCACGTGACTCGCTTTTTGAGGTATTTTGGCATTGGATTGGCTTCTACAATCAGTCAATGTTCCCGAGGCGAAGTGTCCTGAGAGCCCTCGCGAGCGCATCTGTGGCTTCCCGCACATGATTTCTCAGGATGCTGGACGGCTCCGTGATGCCGTGGCGACTCAGGCGGTTCTGCGACTTCCTGAAAGCCCAGCTTTCGAACGACCAAGAAAGGTGGCTGGTCGGAGACTCGACAACTCGAACCTGGAGAAGATGTTCAGCGATGAGGTGTCGCAAGCATGAGCTCATCGAAGTTGTTGCTGCATCAGAGCTTATTATTCTTTGCCAGGGCTTCTGCCTCCAGCTGCCGGCAAGTGAAAGCAATCTGTTCGCGACCATATAGCTCAGGAGGAAAGTCCGTCAGCGAGCACGTTGCAGTAGCTGATATTGTTGATGCGAGATGGCAACTTTCAATTGAAAGGGATGTTCATCTTCATTTTGAGATACATATGTATCGGTCCGTTTCAAGATCGTTTTAAGGCACTTGCGGCAAATAGAGTTCAAACATGAAAAAAATTCAATCATTAGAACAAGATTATACATTTTCATATAGTATAGTCAATGTTTCGAAATTTGCCATTATAGTAATATTTTCGTTTCAGGAAACTATAAAATAAATGATTGTCGAAAAATACCTCGTAATTGCGTGTTTTTTAATCTACAAAACTGTTTGCTCCGGGTTTGGATTTACGCACGGCGGCTGATGCCGGTTCAAAACCACGAAAATCTCGGGATTTTGGGATCGTCGGTATGCCTGCGGCTAGCTGCCTTTAGATTAAAGGCGAGTTCTCAGAATTCATTGGGATTTTGAGGATTTTGTATTGGACGCGCTGTGTGGTACGAAACTCCCAAAGTCCCTGAGATTTCGGTGTTTCGTGCTGTGCGAAACTCTGGAAATCCTGGGAAAGTAGGTATGGTTTCGTACCGCACCAAATTCCTGAAAATGTAGCGTTTCCTACTACGACATTCTCGACCGACTTTATTTTATATTCTAGTCTTCACTTCCTCACGCCGCTTCGACAAATATCGGATATCATCGACGTTCAATACAAAAATGAATGATTGGACACTTGGTACATGCCACGCATGTCATGTAGAAAGCTATGGAGAGTGTCGTGGAGTGTGGGTGAGGGCATATCGAGGAGACTTTTTGTGGAGTGGTGGAGTGGTGGGTGAAGATAGGGGGATTGGCGAAGGTGTTAAATGGGAAGTAGTGGGCGGGGGAGTGTCGCGAAGTGGTGGGTGAGGATGCGTTTGTCATGAGGGTGGGAATATCGTTGTTGTGGGATGGAAGGTGAGGGAAGTATCGTTACGTGAAGAGGAGACGGAGAAGAGGAATGGTTCGTAGATAATTTATAATCTGGTGGTGTGGGGGGTCGTTCACGTGCGGAGAGATGAAGAGAAGATACAGGAAGATGGTGGGCACTCACCCCTTGGCATCTTGACATGGGCACGGGGACGAAGCTGTCGAGCCCCAAAAAGACACGAGAAAGATCAAGGTTGAACAAGATTGAATCTTGAGAGGCAAGTAAGGGAGCGTCAACCTGTACAAGTGTATCCACCACTAGCTCGCGGTTGTCGTGGCCGAACGAATTGACACCTTAAGTGATGCCATGGCACAGCCGCGGCGAAGCTTCTTTCTTTGTGATGGCAATCCCGTGGGGGCGGAGCTGAAAGAATTGAATGTTTGGCTTACAGAAGCCAACTTCCAAGGGCAAAGTGGCTCATTGCATGACCTGAAGGAGCACTTGCGGATGGTCCAGAAATGGGCGGAGGATCTGGTGCTCTTTGTGGCGTTGCCCAAACACCTTGCAGCTTCTCGTGATAGTGTCGAGAGCTTCATTAACGTCAGGGCCGGCAGCTCGCTGTGCGTGATTGTTATCTTTGCAGAGTCGAAGAGCGACAGCCCAGATCCTTCCATCAATTTGAACTTCCAGTCAAATGAAATTCTTCCAGAGAAGATGAACAGGAAAGACAAATGGCAAGCCGAGAAGTTGCTGCCCTATCGCCACAGCAAAGCCGAGTTCGGCTACTTGGTGGTTTCCGACTTGGGGCGCCTTCTCTGTTTGTGGCGAAGGCTTCAGGCTACCCAGTGCCATGATCTCTCAAGCTTGTTGGACGAAGCCAGCAGGGAAGAGCATGTGCTGGAGCACCTGGAAACTACAGCCATGACAAGCTTCACATCCCTGGCGGTGACGTTCAGTGATTCCTGTGGTGCGTGCAGCAATCTGGAAGATGCAGTTCGGATGGGGCACCTCACATGTTTGCAGAATTTGCTGGTCAATGGTCGCGGTCGGGGTCCAGCATCCGAGGAGTTTTCGCCTCTGCACCTAGCGGTGCTGAAAGCAGGACAAAGGAAAGGTAAAGTCTTCGTGAAGATGGCCAAGCTTCTCTTGGCGGCCAAGCATGACGCTGGACTCCAAACCTCTCATGGCATCACTCCGTTGCACTGGGCAGCTGGCTATGGGCTATCCGCCCTCACGTGGACCATGTTACATCTAAGCGGCACTGGCGAGCTGACCTGGGTTGCGAAAACGGATCCATACGATGCAAAGAACTTGGAGAAGATGGGAAGGTTGGCCAACCTGCCGGACAGACGGGGAAGGACTGCGCTTTATCGGGCTGTGATGCATGGCCATGAGGAGTGTGTGCGGTGGCTGACGCAGATGGGCGCAGACTGCAACCTTAGTGATGCCAACCACTGCAGCCCACTCCACGCAGCTCTTCAGCAAAATCCTCGAGTAGCGCTTGTGACCACGCTTTTGAAGGCCAGGGCTGCGGTCAATTCCGCGGATGCTGATGGACGCCTTCCTTTGCACCTCCTGGCATCTCATCGGACACACAGCGATGACTTGTTGGAGCGCCTCCTCCCAAGCGATGCAGTCACCGAGTGCAGGGATCGTGATGGCTGGACTCCTTTGCATGAGGCAGCTCTTTCAGGTAATGCAAAGCTCCTGGAGCAGTTGCTGCTGAGGGCCCATGCGCATGAGAAAGCCTTGCCTGGAGTATTGTCCATCAGGGATTCCACGGTGCCGCACATCCTTCACGTTGCCATCATGGCGAAGAGCTCCGAGTGTGTTGAGCTGCTCCTAAACTCGAGGGCGTCACCCCTCGAAACGGCCTGTCTCACTTGGGACGCAGAGCACTTCCGAATCCAGCGGCATTATACTGAGGTGGGCCTTTGCTTGATGAACTCCGGTGTTTTGGCAGCTCCTTTTGATCGGATCCTCTTCAAGACAGACCTGCACGCAGATGAGTTCCAGCGGAACGTGGGTGAGAAACTGAGGGAGCTGCAGCGAAACTACGACCGCAGCGAGCTGAAGGTTCTTCACACGAGAGAGCTGACACGGGAACAGTGCGAGATCATCTTGGCAGAAGCCCAGCGCCTTGGTATGAGATGCATCCCGCCAGGTGACTTCAAGGAGGACGGTTCGCGTCAGCCGCTGATCGTCTACAAAGCTTTGGAGTCGCTGGTGCATTCCAAGCGGGTACTGCAGGACATTGAGCTTCGGCAGCGAGTGCGAAGCCGCATGCATGGGGGAAATGGATCCTGGTGCGGAGTGCTGCTTCTACGATATGAGCGACTTCCAGCGTCGCTTGGTGCATGAAGTCGCCAGGGATCTGGGCGTGCACTCGCGCAGCGAAGGCCAGGCCGTGCGTGTGAGGAAGGCATTGGAGCAAGCGTCGAAGCGTCCACGAGTGGAGAAAGACGAGGACTTTCTGGAGGAGCTCCGAGGTGACTTGGATTCTTTGAAAGAAGGGGACGCGATGCACCTGGGCTATGGCTTATCCTCCTACCGCCGCAAGAAGTTGCATGAGGAGGTGGAGAGGAGGGGTTGGTCCTCCAAGTCTGACGGCAGCAGTATTTGCGTGCGGCACGTGGCCCCCACTGAGCATCTGGACGTGACTCACCCAAAGTTGAAAGAGGACGAGGTCAAGGAACGGGTGCGCCGCCAATTGGAGCTGTTGGGACCAGGAGAGTCATGCACCTTTCCGGCCAGCCTCAATAGCTTCGAGCGTCGCATAGTGCACCAGGTCGCCGAGGAGCTGGGGTGGGTGTCACAGCCAGTCTAGCCGTGACACTGGTACGATCAAGATCCAAAGTCGAAGTCGGGCTCACTTTTCTCCAGTCTTCTCGAAAGACGCTGCAGAAGCTCTTGAGAGCAACCAGAAAGCCTATGGCCACAGGGAAGCACTACGTGCCTCTAGAGTACTTCGTAGCTGCTAAGAAAGTTTGGGCCAAAGGAGCTCCTGGATGCGCAAGGGTTGATACAAGAACCTGAGGTGGAGTGTGCAGACTTCTAAAGGCTTCACCTGCGACACACCCCAAAGACTATACACGAAGGCTCAGGTTCACGTGCATGCGACCGGCTGTACAGTTGTCGAGAGCGCGACGGCGTTTCGCGCTCATGAATGCTCCTGGATGGCGAAGTCGCCAGTGGCCTTGGAGCAGGAACTTCTTCACGATGTCCTGCTTCGCGGACTTGGTCAAGCCGTCGGCTAGTTGGTGGTCGGAGTCACACCAACACAGGACGGTTTTCTGATTTCTGAGATTCTCGCTGATCCCCATGAGCTCCAGAGAGGGGTACTTGTCCTTGACGTTGAAGGAGGCCATGCCGGGGTCAGCTTTCATGAGCGTGTCGTACACGCCTCGTGCATCGATGAAGATATGCGCGGCCACTTGGAAGGTGCTTGAGGCAGGGTCCTTGACGTCGACCTTGCCGCCGTTGAGCTCATACCAAGCCAATCTGGTGTACATGAGCTCCTGTTCGCAGTGACTGAGGGCTTGGGCCTCAGCTGACAAAGAACTTCTTGCCACCCGAGGTAGCTTGTAACTCCTCCAGCCTGTCACATTGACCTTTCCTTGCCCAAGAGCAACAGCCTTTGGGTTCATCATGCCAATGATCATTCCGCCTGTGCTGGAGCCATCCGAGCGGTTTGCAAGGGAGGCGTCCGTCCACGCGACGAACACAGCGGCCTTGGCATCGAAGTCACCCAGGTTCTGCACTTGCACCCCTATATGCTTGGCGCTGTGCACCTCTCTTACCAACTTATTGATTTGCTCCACGCATGAGCCATCACGAGAGGACACCAGCGTCTGGAGGAAACCAAGCTTAGCAGCGTGGTGAGGGGCTGACTGGGTGACCCTCCACTGGACTGATCCCAGTATGGCTTTGGCTTGCCGTACATGATTTTCATCCATGCTCTCTCCTGAAGGAACAGGGTCCATCTGCACCAAGTCGCTGCAGAAACTCGAATGATCCATGGTGATGGACCAATCCTCATGTTGCACCAGCCGGATCCCGCAGTGAGAGAAGCTGGAGTGCTCCCATGGCGCCCAGGTGTAGGCCTGCTTGAAGTTGGCGATGAAGTCCAACCAGTTCTTGTCCGTGGCGCTGCCCATGATCAAGAAGTCGTCGACATGACTGGCCAGGACTCCAGCAACTTCATTGTCCTCGCCTAGAATAATCCAGGCACAGGGATCCGTGCGGCACTGAATGCCGCCCAGACGTTTGATCGTGCCCGCGACATCCGTGAACCACTCCTTGGGGGCCGTGGCGAGTCCATATGCAGAGCCAGTGAGCTCCACGCATTCTTGAGGGGAGAGATTCATCTCCTCCGCCAGCTCGGGAAGTGGTTTGGCCAGAAGTCGGCGTCCACGATCGGCTGGTCGGGCCTGCAGGAATGCTGTTCGTACATCCGCTGAAAAGATCTGCCACTTCTTGATGCACGCCATGTTTAACATCAGTTGGCGAGTGAGCTTACTCATAGTCGGGGATGCAGTGCTGTCCTCAAGCAATCCAGGGTCCGAAAAGCCGAGGATCACTATGCGCGCCTTCGCTTTCACCTGGGGCTTGCCGGCATCATCAGATGGAGCTTCCTTGAAGGTCAGGACCCATCTCATCCTCAACAGTTGGTGCTCCGGAACCAGCTCAGCCACCTTCTTACACACCTTAAGTTGGACCCACTGAGCAACTTCCAAGCTCTTCGCCTCACCCATGGCACGTCGTTGCTCAGGTGATAACTTATGCCAACTCACCTCAACACCCTTGGAGACGGCCTTGCTCATGAACTTCTCAGGGTTCTTGACCATTCGCTTCCATGCCTGAGCATCCGAAGGGGCATCAATCGTTACTGCAAAGGCCTTGTCGGAGTCGTCAGTGGTGTAATAGAGGTTGGACTCGGCTGTCTGAGAGACGTGCCATGGCCTATCCTCCTGCTCATGCCTTGCTCGTTGTTCGCGAAAGCTGGTAGTAGATGACGAGGGAATTCGGGCATGCTCAGGGATAGGCTGGAATGGCATGTACTCAGGGTCGTTGAAGAGCTTGTTGAGGTCGATGTTCTCGTCGCCCGGGATCATTTCTTCATCCTCGTTGACTTCGGGACCACGCCTTTTGTGTCCTTGGGCAGCCTCAGCTTTTGGCACAGGTATCATCTCTTCATCAGACGGTGGTCCATCAGGAGGTAGTAGAGGAGGAGCTTCAGGAACTGGTGGGGCCTCCTCATCCTCGTCCGGGAACTCCAAGTCATCAGGAAACGTGGCTTGATCCCGGGTCAGGTCCTCATAGGCTCCTTTATTGAGCAGAGAGGTCAAGTTTGACATAGTCCACGGAAAAGTTACCCCGGTCGACTGCTGAGCGATCAATTGCTCGGCTTCTGAAGCTGCGCGAACCTGCGTGTAGTGGCACTTCTTGAGACGACCTTGGGCGATGATCCATAGATGTGAAGAGGGTCGTCGTTCGCCCGCAGCTCCACGGGTCTCAGTCGCCAGCACTCTCCCAGGGCCAAACCACCGAGAAATTGACATCCGAGGGTGGTCAGTCGAGGCGTTGGCAGGGAGGTCGCTTGGAGTTTTGTACCGGCGGTAGTAGATCAAGTCTCCGGGAAGAAAATGAGGGTAGGCGGTCGCAGCGCTTCGGGCTGCCCTGTCTCCAAGCTCTTTATGCCGTGCCTCCAGGAAAACCTTCGACGCTTCCAGTCGCAGTCGTTGAACTTGGTGGAGGTCCGAGCCGGGAGTGCCTGCACTAGAAAGTGCTGACAGCTCTCCAGGCGACTCATTCACGTGGCCACTCAAAGACATGTCACGGCCCAGGGTCCATTGAAGTGGTGAGAACCCGTGGATGCGGGCCATGCTGTTGTGCGCCGTGACCATCGACAGCGCAACCTGTCGAGGTTGTTCTGGACGCTCACGAATGAAAACTTCAATCTTCCGACGAAGAGTTCCTATAGATCTCTCCACTTCACTGATAAACTGGTGGTGCTCGGCGGGCGCATGCACAAGCTCTACACCCCGTGTGGAGCACCAATCACGAAGAAGGGCTCCTCGAAGAGCGCTCTCGGCGTCCAACTTGATCCGTTCTGGGTACCCAAAGTACTGGGTCCAGGCTTCTTCAAGCAAGTGGCAAATCTGCGCCGAGGTGGCGTTTCCTCCTTGCGAAGCTGGGTGCTCAAACACCAGACGGATAACCGCATAGCCGGAGCATTCATCCACAAACAACAGGAAGTGGTAGATACGGTTGTCGATCTTCATATGGAAAAGGTCCATCTGGAGGTCGGTCCATAGACGATCTGAGCGTGAGAGATCCACCGGGGGTCGAGGTGCCTTAACCCGGCTCTCAAGGCACGCGTCACACTTCAGTTGGGAGGCAGCAGCGATCAGCTTCTTATCTGCGTGCCTGGCCTGCAGATTCTTGATCAGCAGACGATTCGAAGGATGTCCCAGGCGGAAATGGATGCGATGAACTCGTTCCATGAGGGCGCCCAGTTCAGCTGAAGTCAGGCCCTCGAGCGCAGTCAGATCCACGGCTCCAATCAAACCGAAGACTGCATCATTGCGAACGACCTGTCTCATAGTCGAGGCCACATGGCGCCAAAGTCCAGGATCCTCATCCGTAGTAGCCGGAGTGCTCTGAAGCAGAGATGTCGAGGTGGAGCGGAGGAGGTGAGGTCCACATCGAAGGGTTCTTCCTTCAGCGTAAGTTTGGTGGTGGTACCAGAACGTCCTTGCTGCAGCTGAGAAGCGAACCGAGCTCTCAGGCTGCTGTATCCACAAGACTTCTCCACCTCGTTGGATCTGAGCCTGAGAAACTTCAATGAGGTGCCGAACCACCTTGTTGTAGTGCTTCCAGAGGGAGGACGTCATTTGGTCCTGAAGGTCTCGACGCTTGGGGCCCTTTGGCACATGGCACACCAACCAGTGTGGCCTTTTCTCATTGAGGATCTTCTGCACCAGCTCGGCGCCGTGGACTGTTCCCAAGTCACCTCCTTCAGAGAAGCCGCAGGTTTGAACTTGCTCGCCACGTGCTCGTAGTTCATCAAGTAGGGGCGAGGAGGTGGAGGTGCAGAGTTCTAACGCAAACAAACCGGATCCACTCTCAGGGTCCTCAAAGTCCTCAAAGAGAAGATCCTGAAATTCCTGGTAGTCATTGGAGATTTGTTGGCGCTCGTAGTCGGTGAGGCAGCTGAGTTTCATTCCAGAGTTCTCCTCACCAAACAGCACGGAGTCAGTCCGGGGAGTCGTTGGAAGCGGGAAGTTGTAGTAGAGCAAATGGTTACGCATCTCAGTATCCACGTCCCGAAACGACCTGACCGTGTAGGCCGCAATGGCGATCCGGGTCCCGGTCCATGGCATCGTCGCATGCCATTGGTCAGAGTAAGAGTCGACCACCCGGTGGTAGGGAGAGAGAAGTCTCCCTTTTGCCAGCGAACCTGAAGGTTTCCGTCTTGCTCGCATGTCCCCGGTCTCTGGCTCCTCGGGCTGCTTTTCTAACCACAGCTCTCCATGTTCATGAGGACCAAAAGTGATCACAAAGTTTGGTTGACCTCGCAAATTATGAAGATCACGATGGGGCCTCGATTCAACGTTGTAGAGGATGGAGAAGGTGGTCCATCTCGCGGTAGAGGGAGCCCAGTGCCGAAGCCACCTGTTCACAAACTGACAGAGCCGAGGGTTCTGGAAGGTGGAGTTCATGATGCCAGACTGGGAACCATGAGCATACAGGCCGTAACTGACCGAGAAGGAGGTCGAGTTCTTCTGCGTCATAAACTTCCGTTGTGGTACAGCATGAGCGGCACGAAGTTGTCCAAGAAGATCTTCCATTGCATTCATGCTGTAGTCCTTCGCCATGTTGTAGGTCTCAGCCAAGGCCTCGATGTTCTCCTCATTCTCCAGGATGGCATAGTTCACGGTCTTCCGCTGCTCCTCTCGGCATACTCCAACTCCTCCGGAGGCTCCTCGTTCCGTCGCACTGCCTTCCGACCTGGTGTTGCCTGCATGCCCTCGGAGATCTCCTCGTGGTCCACCAGGAGATGTGAAGTCGCCGGAGAGCTCATCACTGATGATGTTCCGGAGGTTGGAGTCGGTGTCTCGGGAACTGGAACTTTGTGGGCAAGGGCCTTGGGGTTTCCTCGCTTGGGCGCTGCTCCCTTCTGGCTGGCTCGAACTTGTTTGATTCGTGTCAGATTGTCCTCTGCGCTCTTCTCCGCGGCTGCCCATCCGATGTCCTTGTCCTTCAAAGTGTCCAGGCCAGGCAGCTCTTCCGCAACCGCCGCCGTCACATCCTTGGGCAGTGCTCCGGGGGAGCGATGGAGCGCGTGACATCCGGCTCGAGGGGTGTACGACAGTCGCAGGAGACACCTCTCGCACGCTATCCACTGGCCATACTGGTTCGAGCCGGAGGGGCTGCCCTTGAACATCCGGGCCGCCTTGTGCTCGCCATGACATGGTGGACCTTGATGCCGGGGGTCTCGAGGATCCGCTTCCACCGTCCGATCCCAATCGAGCGGAGGGGCCGCGTAGCCGCTCTTCTTGGCCTTGGTCTTGGCCGCTCCTGACGGAGCTTCGAATTTGGCTTCGCTCTTCTCCTTCACCTTCAGCTCGGAAGTTTTCGCCGGGCCTTGAGATCCCTGCGATGCCATGAAGAGCGAGCAACGATATCAAAATGCTGTTGGTACGCATAGTCCCCGGAGGAACTTCCTCGAGCCCAGATGCATCAGCATTCATGTCAACCTGGCAGACAGGCGAAGAAGTAGTAGGCACTGAAGCTACAGGTTCGGGATCTACCTCATGTAGGGCTGGAGCTTCTCGAGTAGCGCAACATGCTCTGCTTGCCGTGGCATGGTTGACATTCTCACTGCTGGCGGCACCAAGCTGCACGGACTGAACCATGAACGATGTTTCTTCCCGGTGCGGAACACAGCTCGAAGATACCTTTTGGTATGGGTCCAAGAGACTGAAAGAGTGAACCATAAGGTCTTGCCTCAGGTCTAGCAGCAAATGTCCGGTGCCACTGCGCATGAGCTTTATGCCTCGGTGCGGGTCGACCGCTCCCATCACCAAGACACCACGATGACAATCAAGCACAGAGCACAACCGCCGTAAGGTCTTTATCCCTATCAAAAGGGGAACTCCAACGACATCTAAGGTAAATATACCCATTGGAACTTGCTGCTGACCCAATGTCACTGGCAACAGGATGTGTGAAGATGACATGTCCTGGGCACCATTGCCAAACTTGAAGCGTTTGGGTGCTTCGTTCGTGACCATGACCTGCTCGGGTGATCCTGTTATGGCAAACCTGGCAACCATAAGAGCTTCAAGTGCTGGTAAACTGCCAACGGTTTCAGTCGCGCCTGAATCTAACACAGCATAGCCATCCAAATTCGACCCAGATACATCTTTCTGGACGAGAATCATGTCTGGGGCATCGCCAACCTCTGCGATCTCCGGTGGCTCCTCAGCAACGGACTCCTGAACTGTCAACACCTCAGGTAAGCAAGGGTGATCTGCACTTCCAGACCCTGTACACATGTCCTCTGCAGACTGAACCACCTGAACCACTGCTCGGTCATGACCCATGGTAGATGAGAGGAATGCCCTGGTAGTCGGAGTAGTCGACGGAAATGCTCTGGTAGTCGACTCTCTGGTAGTCGATGGCGAAGTCGACGGGAATGCTCTGGTAGTCGACGGCATAGTCGAGGGGAATGCTCTGGTAGTCGATGGCGTAGTCGAAGGGAATGCTCTGGTAGTCGATGGACTCGGCTCGAGGGGCTCGACCATGAACACCTCGGCGCTGGAGTGGAAGTGGACCTTGCTGCTGCTTCCTTTTGCGGTTCCTTTTGTTGACCGGCGTGGGCAGTCACGGAATTGATGCCCACGATCTCCGCATATGAAGCAGCCGCTGTAGCCTGCCTGGCCAGGACCTACGGCAAAGGTCGAGGCTTCACTCATCAACACCGGCAAGGAAAGAGTAGAAGTTGGTGACGAAGGCGTCATGCCCTTGCTCATCTTTGTCTTTCCTTTTCCAGAAGGACGAAAACCTTTGCCTTTTCCTTTCCCTTTCTTGAAGCCCTTGGACTGCGGGGAGAAAGGATAGAAGCCACGACTCAAGTGCCGTGCTCGCACTGCACGACGAGCATCCATAAAGGATCGAAGCTTGCCTTCCGCAACTTGGTAGGCCTCGTCAACCTGCTGCAGCTCCTCCGCGGTCAAGAACGCGGTAGGGTCCTCGTCCTCCGGCCAGGCACCGGGGTCCTCGCCCCAGTACGTAGATTCGGCCTCTTCAGGCCAAGAATCTTCCACCGACTCCTGAGCATCAGGCCACACGTGGAACAAAGACTCGTCGCCGACATAATGCAGCGGGATGCCTTCGAGGCTGTCTTGAAGATCTTCTGCGTCGGCCAGAAGAATGCTCCAGTGGCCTTCTTCTTCGACCCAGTAAGAGCGTCGGCGTCCGGGTGGAGGTGGCCCACGACTATGTTCTTGGGCCAGAAGCTCATCCTCCATACCTCGGAGAGCCAGCTCGATCCTATCGAGAGCGAGAGTATTGCCAGACGCAGCCTGCACGCTCAGACGTGCCTGGGCTGAAAGTCCAGCTCTTCTTAAGAGAAGCCAGCCAAGCAGCTCGCTCGGAAGCACATCCTCGAGTTTCTCTTCGTACCTGTTCCAGATCTCCAGGTCGGCCAGGGCCTTCAAACTGTCATCACTGTCGCTGTCTTTGCGCTTCCGGCGAGGGCTTCGAGGATCTCTGAGACGGCCAAAAGGTGATCCTTCGCCAGCTTCTGGCTGTAGCTCCTCCTCATCCGGAGGACCCAAAAGGGTCTCCGTCTCCTCTCTCTCGCCGTCTGTCTCAGCCTCGGCGTGGGGTTCCTCCAACGTCTCCTGACTCGTCCGTCGCGAGGATCTAGGCTTAGCTGGAGTGCTCGGGGCCGAAGATGTCGTAGATACTCCTTGTCCTTTTCGAGCACGAGCCAGCGCCACCTGCAGCTGACGATAAGCGTCGCGCAACTGAGTAGCCCAGGTCGCCATACTTGTTCCTGGGTGTCGACGCAACCGAATCATGAGCTGCTCAAGCCTCAGTCCCACGTCAGGTATTGGAGTTTTGCACAAGCGGTCACGGAGGAATTCGATGAGGTAGACAACCCCATCCCGACGCACGAGGCGTCGGTGGTCAAGCTCTTGAGTCACCACCCACGCTCTTCCGCTGAGTTGGCCCACGATCTCTGGGCCAAGCAAATGGCGCTTGCGCCTCGAAGTCTTCTCGAAAGCGAGGCGAACGCATCTCAGAAAATCAGGCCATCCACTAGCTTCTCCATTCCACTGGCATTTCAGCCAGGTCCGGTCTTTGTCATCTGAATTCATGAATTTCCAATGCACAGCCGCCGGTGAGAGGCTCCTGGGGGTTCTGGTAGCGCTTGTCGGGGAAAATCACCCGCGATGTTCTTCAACAGAAAGTAGGTGAGGGCACCGCCGGAGGTCTCGATCAACCAGCGAACAGACTGTGAGCTTCTCACAGCCGGGTAGGGAGCCTGGATCGATGCTCCGCTACCAATGTCACAGCCAGTCTAGCCGTGACACTGGTACGATCAAGATCCAAAGTCGAAGTCGGGCTCACTTTTCTCCAGTCTTCTCGAAAGACGCTGCAGAAGCTCTTGAGAGCAACCAGAAAGCCTATGGCCACAGGGAAGCACTACGTGCCTCTAGAGTACTTCGTAGCTGCTAAGAAAGTTTGGGCCAAAGGAGCTCCTGGATGCGCAAGGGTTGATACAAGAACCTGAGGTGGAGTGTGCAGACTTCTAAAGGCTTCACCTGCGACAGTGGGTACACAAATCCGTGGACCTGGGAGTTGAAGGCCAAGGGCGGAAAGGGAAAGACGGGAAAGGGAAAGGATTCAAGGGACAGAGCAAAGGAAAGGCGGGTTCCAAAGGTGAGCGACAGATCACCGTGACGAACCTTCCAAGTGCTCCAAGTGCACCACCACCAGAAGCTGGGGAGGGCAGCATACGCACAGAGGTGGTGGAGGCATTGAAGAGACTCTCCGAGGACCAGTCGCTGGTGGAGTATCCCTTCCAGAGCAAGGACAAGGCAAGGCGTGCAGCGATTCGAAAGGAGGTGGATGCACAACAAGGCAAGTGCCCATTCGAGTTCTCAGTGCAGACCGAGCGGCAGGGCAACAAGCTGCGTTTGGTGCTCCGAAAGCAGTGCGAGCCTTGCAATATGGAATCCCAAGGCCTGCCCGACATTCGCTTCGACTGCATAAATGCCGTCCGGAAGCATCTCTACGAGCTTGTGTGCAGCGGCGAAGAGGAGTTCAAGTACCCTACCTGCCTGACCAAAATGCAGAGGTCAGTAGTTCATGAAGTTGCGCGAGACTTTCGGCTAGCAAGTAGTACCAAAGGAGCCCGCAGAGAGGAGCAAGTGGTAGTTTCAAAGGCCAACCGAGACAATCCGAGCGAACCTTTGGTGATCCACGGTGGATTCCTGTGCGATGGCTGCAACACCGTGCCGCAGGGACTTCGCTTTCATTGCGAGCAGTGCCGCGACTTCGATTTCTGTAACTCTTGCCATGAGGCTTGGATCCAGGGGAACTTGCCCCATACAGCAGGCCACAGCTTCCAGGCCATTCAAGCCATTCCCGAGGTGAAAAAGGCAACCCGCATCAACGCAGCACAGCTGGCAGAAGGCATGGGCTTGGACAACGCCTTGAATATTTTGCTGCGTGGGGCAGGTACAGCTTCTCTCGTCAGCGACGAATATGGGTGACACGGCCCTTCACCTGGCGTGTCAAAAACGACAGAAACGGACCATCCGCGACTTGCTGGAAGCCAAGGCGGATTGCAATGCTCAGAACGGCAAGGGCCGAACGGCGTTGCACGTCATATCGCGGATCCCTTGCTACAACAGCTCTGATAAAGAAGAATTAGTTGGCATCATGCAAGCGCTGTTGAACGCCACGGGAGATGCAGCCATTCTGGAGAACAACGGCGATTCGCCATTGCATCAGGCCAGAACATACGTCGTTGCATAAGGGAAAAGTTGTAGAGAGCTGCCGTGCTGTGTTTGAAGGTGCCCTTTGCTTGTTCGAGTTCCTCTTGCCAGCCCTTAAGCACCTGAGGCGTAGTCCCAGCCAACAGAAAGGAAGAGAGGCCCGGAGAGCTCCAGGACATTCCCAGTGCGACTCCAGCCTCCACGTGACCACACACGCAATGCGCAACTGTGGTCGCCAACAGCCTGATTCATTAAACCAGTTGCGTTGGTCAGCCACGCTGAGGTTGGCTGTGCCCAGGTCGTGTACGCACGCACACACACCCACACTCACACGCACATGCACATGCACATGCACACGCAGACACACACACACACACACGCGCGCGCGCGCGCGCGCGCGCATGCTCTTTGTGCTGAAACCTCAAAGGCCACGCGCATGAGGCAAGTGCCAAGTGCTTCAAGAGTTTGGATTGTATCTGTTGCCTTTTCTTCCATTTGGCCATGCCTGTATACTCTACCGGTGGAAGTGTCAGGATGACAACCTGTAGTTGTAAGTCAAACTTGCTGATATTGCGGAAAGTCAGTCCGCGGCACATGGGTCAGTGAAAGAGAGTCAGTTAGTCAAAGACTAGAATCTGACTAGAAGATGCACGGATGCAATAAAAGGTGGGAATCTGCCAAATGCTGGCGCAGGCGCAAGGTCTTGTAGCTTCAGGACGTCAGGTATGCTCGCCAAAACGGTCAGTGCAGGCCAACTCAGGTGTGAAGCTGCGATTTTCGTGGCAGGCGCCGAATTTGTAACAAGAAATCAAACAGATAAAGTTGAAGTGTAGAAAGTTCCCAGGCGGCGCTTTCTAACGAAAAGTTTAAGAAGTTGTCGGTACCGGATCACGTTTTGACATCAGAGCTGAACTATTCGCGGCAGGCGCAGCACTTTCACGGCAGGCAGGTGCTGTAGGATCGCAAAAAAATCTAACCCAATGGCGGCTAGGCAGATAAGGAGGTAGATGGATCGATAGATAAATAGGTAGGGAGATCGACAGATTGGTAGATTGCCGCATTATGAATAGATGGATGGATGATGGACACACCGGCAGGCAGGCAGATAGATTGATAGGTCGGTAAACAGGTAGATGGTTAGCTGTGGGGAAAAATAGTTCGTCCGTCACGTGCCACAAAGAGTCCCAAAAGCTGCCTGCTTCGCACAATTATTCAAGTCCACGGATGATGTCTATATACTCAGGCTACTCTGCTCTATTGGCGAATCTGTCTTTTCACTGCACGTGGAAACCTCACCTAATGTGAGTGGACACACGTTTTTCGACCGAAGGCAATATGTTGCTTTGTTGCTGCTGACTTTGCAGTGGTTCTCCAAAGCATGTCTCGGACTTGTTTCCTTGCCATCTAGATCTATATTTTGCCAACGTGAAGCGCCCAAGCGCCAGGCAATCCTGCACGATAACTGCAAGATGGTGGAAGCCTTGCTTGCAGCGCGGGTCGATGCCAACATCAAGGGCTGTGCTGGGAACACAGCTTTGCACATGGCGGCGCACAAGGGCTTGACGGCCATGGCACGGCAGCTGTTGGAAGCCAGGGCAGATCCTGCGATCTTAAATGACGACGGCAACACTGCCCTTGAACACGCCAGCAAAAAGAATTTCAAGGCTGTCGCTCAGGTCATCGATGGGAGCTACTTCCACACGAGATCTATGAAGCAGACGCAAGAGGTGCAGCCTCCGCAGCATCATTCCGAATCAAGTTGCGGAAAGCAAGCTGAACATCCAAGCTGTGCAGAGATGGATGCCTTGGCCGTTTCTGGTTTCAAGGTCACCTTGTGTGAAGATGTCATCGCAGAGGGGTTCTGGGAGCAGCTGCAGCAGCTCGAGCAGTACCTGAAGAAGCAGACTGAGCGTTTGGTGCTGTTCTATTACGCCGGCCACGGCCGCGAATCTCAAAACGAGCTCGAGATGCTGATGTTGCAGGGCCACGTCTCCTTCTCGCAGGTGCGCCAGCGCTTGCTAGGCCCACAGGTGGCACTTCTGGCTGTGGCCGATTGCTGCCGAGAGAATGCCATGGACAGCACCTTCCGTGCCATGCCGGCAGCATCAGCTTCGCTGCATCCGGCGGCCTCACCTATCGCCCCAGCTGAAGCGCCAGACACGCCGAAGGCACCAGAATCACGCCACAGCAACTTCTACATTCTCTGGGCCGGGGACCGAGGTACTTGCATTAGCGACAGCCAGGAGGACAGTCTGGGACAGCAGATTGCAACCAGCCTCATGTCGCTGTGTGGAAGATCCTTGGAGGAGGTGTTGAAGCAAGCTTCTGAACAAGTGACACTTCGCGGTGTGAAGCGGGCAGTGCTGCAACGGCCGTGGAGTGAGCGTGGTATTGGGCAGGATGTGGGGGCGAGAGTTCTGCAGCCCGTGCTTTGTCCAAGGTGCGAGCACTATCGAAGGTCTGGTGTCAAGGGCTCCCAAAGAGTGTTGCCTGCAGAAAATTTTGAGAGACTGCTGCGAAGCCACTGCGAAAGCTTCGAGTGGTGCGCACTAGCAGCGCTCAACACCTTAGAGAAGCAGTTCTTGAAGACATCCGATGATTCCCGCTGGGGCCCGCTGAGTGCGTATTTTTGCGCCGCAATTCGAGCAAATGAGATCCCTGTGCTTCAATTCATGGCGCATCTCCATCCCGAGCTACTTGGCAACCACGGCTTTGACGTCTTTGACCATGTCAGCAACTACCCAGCAGGAAGGCCGAGTGTGAGCGCCTTGCGCAGGATGCCAGTCCTGGCAGTTGCCGTCAGCTCGTCCAGTCCGGGCAGTGCTTCAGATGCTCTGAACTTTTTGCTACAGGCAAAGGCTGACATAAATGCTACTGACAGAGAGGGATGGACAGCAGAGCAACTTGCCTGCTATCTTGGGAAACGTGCTCCCCTGGAGCTTCTCTTAGACGCTCACAGTGAGAGTGAGGTGAGGGACATGATGCCATGGGAGGCCCCAAATTGACAATCTCGCCCCCCCAAATTGACAATCTCGGGGCCCCAAATT